TAATTTGTAAAACGCATGTTAAATTATTGTTTTGAAGTCTAAAAAATGGTAAAATCTACAAACTATTCAAAAAATAGCAAAATCCAAATATGCCACTATGAAAAATGGCAAAATCCGTGATTGATTCGGCAAAACTTTTATAGGTAATGTTACTCGTAACAACGGCTAGAGGTGTTAGTAAAACTATCTATACCGGAGCGAAGCGGGCCGACGTTGCTAAAGGAGCCAAACGCCGTCAGACAAAAGGCGACTAAACCACCGCTATTGTAGCCGGAGGTTGTCGGACGAAAGCCGGTAAACACCGGACGGGAAGAACTACCGCTATCCTAACCGGAGACTGTTAGACAAAAAATGATAAACACCGGAAGACAAGAACCACCGTTCTCTTTCTCCCTAAAAGATTTTAGAGAGTTAAGAGAGAGAGACAATATTCAATTGGGTTGATTAATAAATATCTACATCTACTAAATCAACAATCGCTTTTTAAAAACTGCAAAACTCTCTTTCTGCCACGTGTGCTTAAGTCTCAAATTTTATTCTTTCACTTTCAAAAACCAATTCTACTATTATTAATCAACAGATAATCGACGGAAAAAAATAAAAAAATCAACAGATAATCTTTTGACAAAAAATAAAAAACTTAGCATTTTTTTAGCGGGAAAAATGTCGGAAAATGCGCGAACTTTCAAATTTGGGACAAAAAAAGCATGAACTTTCGAAGTGTCATTTAAATCATAAAGTTTAATTTGACTTTTGATTAAATAGTTAAGTTTTCGTTGACCAGGCCATTTCGAGCATGTCGTTAAATTTCCGTTAACGAGACGATAACGGAGTTAACTTTTCGTTAGAAATCTTCGTTGAATCGAAACGACGTTATTTTAAAAACAACAAAATGACGTCGTTTTAAATCTATTTCCAATGAAACTGCCATCGTTTTGTAGTTTTCAAAACGACGTCGTTTCGATTCAACGGAGATTTCGAACGGAAAATTAACACCGTCAACGTCTCGTTAACGGAAGTTTAACGATATGCCCGAAATGGCCAGGTCAACGAAAACTTAACCATTTAATCAAAAGTCAAACTAAACTTTATGATTTAAATGACATTTCGAAAGTTCATGTTTTTTTTGTCCGAAATTTGAAAGTTCGCGCATTTTCCGACATTTTTCCCCTTTTTTAGCAACTGCTCCTTTCCACGATCTTAAGATTCTTCACTTCCCCTCCCCTCTCTCAACCCTCTCCCACTTAATTTACGATTTCAATGGCAACCGTAGAAACCATTCTCACGAAAGTAAAATCGATGCAATAACTTCTTCTTCTTCTTCTCATAACATTAGATCCGATCCATTCTTTCTTCTAAATATGTCTAACAGAGAAACGAAAGGATAACGAAAACAATGAAAGTTGAGACTTTTGCGATGCCTAATGTGATGGAAGATGTTAACTTCCCACGACACACTGAATTTCGACCACCTAATCGCTGGTATGAATATCATTAAATCTTTGGCTTTGCTTTCCAGATTTGTTGCGTTTTACTTGGTTTATCTTCTTATGCACACCAGCTGCTTGACAAAATGACCACAAGAGTTTCCGAGAATCATATAAAAACAAAATGGATGCAGCTTAATGTAGGATGAATCAATTGTATGAATGTGGAATTCTGCCAACAATTTTGTATAGAAAAGCAATAAAACAACAAATGTTTTTGGGCTTTCAATTCAAAAGAAGAAGAAGAAGAAACAAAACAATTTGAGATCATGGGTGGCATGACATGGCATCTCTTCTTCCACGGTGTAGGGTGCAAAAGAATTTAAATGTGAAACCATCTTATATGTTCAAGTTTAAAATCGTTTTGATATGAAGGTTTTTCATTTGTCCATCATTATTATTGTTGGCTCCATATAGCTTTTCTTTCTCATCTATTCTTTCTCTTATGTTTTCTCTATGTCTATGAGAAGTTACTGTATTTAAGTAAGATCTCTGGCTGTTTCAAAATACAATGGAAATTTCCTAAATTTTGACACTTTTCTATCACGATTTGGGTGAAGTTGAGGGGGATTTCTATTGAGTTACAGAGCATTAAATCAATGTATTACAGTCTCATTAGGGGAGAACGGCCTATTCCCCCTGAACTAAGTTGCTTTATTGCTTTCATACACTGAACTTTCGTTTGTGCTTAAACCCTCATGAACTTAGATTTAATTTGAATTTTCATCACAAACTATTCAAATCCGGTGGAAAACCTCAAATCGTTTGACGATGTTACTGTTCCGTTAACGGATGCTGACGAGGATGACACGTAATCATTTTAAACGATTGCGTTTTGGTCCAGCTGGACTCTCATTAGACAACGAAACAAAACGACGTCGTTTTGATTTGCACAAACGACGTTGTTTTGTTATTTGGGGATTTATTCTCGATTTAGGGTTTGTCATTGCATTTGTAGAGCAAAATCGAGTCGTCGGGAGAGATATTGAGACGAGAGACAGAGTGAGATGAAGAGTGAGTCGAGAGACGGAGACGAAATGGGGGATAGACGAAGAGGGATTCCAAGTCGATGTCGTTGTGGAGAGAATGTAGTTTTGAGGACATCAAAGACTCAAAAAAATCCAGGAAGACTTTTTTATGCTTGTCCATATGGAGAAGAGGTAATGATAATGTTGTGTATTAAGTAGGGTAAACTTATGTGAATTGTCTGAATTGTGTTTCTGTATGTTGCAGAATGGTCGTAGTCACTTGTTTAAGTGGACAGATGAAACAATGGTTGAAGAGATGGAAGACATAATTCCAAAGATTGATGATCTTGAAGGAGCTTCATTGACCTTACAAAAAGGTTTACAAGCTTTAGAATCTGAGATTGAAACTCTTGCAATGGAGACTCGTACATGTGAAGCTGTGGTATGCGGCTTTGAGAAACATCTGCGTTGTTAGGAGATTCAAGGCTGCAAGATGGAATTGCGGGGTTTGAAGAACATTCTTGTGTGTATAGTGTTTACGGTTCTTTTTTATGTGTTTGTGTTGTAGTGATGGACCCGTTGTAGTGATTATGGTTCTGGTTTGTGTTTTTCTTTGTTTTGTTTTCTATATTTGTTGGGGTCGGTTTTCACCCATCTTTAGGCCGAGCCAAACTTCAATACCTCGGGGTACCCTTACAATCAACTCGGGGTACCCTGCTAATTACCTCCGGGTACCCTCCTGATCACCTCGGGGTACCCTTCTGATCAGCTCGGATTACCCTCCTGGTCAGCTCGGGGTGCCCTGCCAGTCGGCTCAAGTACCCTCTTAACGCCTCGGCTCGGGGCGTATGCCACATCATCACATTGTCCCGAGCCGAACACACCGATCACCCCGAGGCAGCCTCCAAGTTACCCGAGGTGAAACCTTTAAGGTTGCTTAAAGCTAGTCTTAGGGCAGCCACCCGAGGTAGGGACTTGGTGAATAAATGCCTTTCGAAGTATCATAACAGCATTTCCGAAGAAAAAGGATCATTTCTGATATACTCGAAACTGATGAGAAAGAATCTCAAAGGATCAAGTCGAATCTGGAAATCTTCCAAAGAACCTCCGAAGAATAAGGAAAGTGTCCTTATCTGCGATATTCTAAGCTGACTTCGAGGATAAGTGGTAGGCCTGGGCAAAATATTCGTTCGATCCGCTTCGATTCGGTATTCGATTTGATTTGATTCGAAAAATCCGAATATCCGTAAGATTTTGAAGCAAAGCAAATAGAAAAATATAATATTCGTTAAAACCGAAGCAAATACCAAATACTGTTTTTTAAGAAGTTGGATATCCGCTTCGATCCGTATTTTTCTATATATATTAGAATATATAATTATGTATATATATATATCATAATATAGTTTGGGTATTTGTATCTTTTGGACTTGGGAATTAGTTTGATGGCATGTTCTTGATCGGTGATATCAACAATGGTTACGTGTGTTTTTTTGGAACATATTTTGAAAGCACATCAAACAAGAACTTTTGTTATTTTATATAGTTTATGGTTTTTTAAAAATATTTAGATGTATAGCGGATATCCGCAAATATCACAAAAATATCTGAATATTCGAATTTCCGGATATTCGCAAATATCACAAAAAAATCCGGATATTCGAATTTCCGGATATCCGGAAATTTTCGAATCAAAGCAAATCACAAAATCGAGTATTCGGTTAAAACGAATCAAATATCAAATATCACAAAATTTCCGGATATCCGCTTCGTGCCCAGGCCTAATAAGTGGAAATTTTCCGAGAATATCGCTGAAAAGGCGGTTTACCACCCCTATATAAAGCAACTCAAGGCTCCCACAGAAAGGACAAGCAAAAACGCTCTAGACTTCAGACTACAAAAAGCTCTGACTCTCGAAAGCAAACAAACACCTTTCTTTTACGTTCCAATTCTCTGTACGATCAAAGTCATTTTTTCATTGATAATATCAAGAACACCATCTCTGGTTACAACTCTTTCTGTTGTTCTTTGAGAATTCTCGCATATTGTATCCCTAAAATAAAACCCTAGAAAAATCTCGATTTTGTTAGTTTCGACTTCCACAATATTAGTCATACAATGTTTTTATGTAATGGGAGATTATGCACTTAACAATGCTTAAAGAAGTCTACTTAACCATAATTAGAAAATAGAAGTTTCATTTGGTTAAAAAATCGTAATCGAAAAATACATAACCTTAATCCTAAAAATACATCACCAAAATATTATCCAAATTAAATCCTCTAAATGCTCTTACAAAACTTCCAGAGCATCTTTAACACCGAGCTGGAGGTTTAATAAGGAGCTAGTGTTATGAACTGAGACATTCTGGATTGATCTAGGATCTTTGTTTCTTTGCTTAGGTATGTTTGATCCAAAAAGTGAATAAAGAGAAAGAAAGATGGTGATTTTGTGAAATATTTATTCAAAATGGCAATTCACGGTTTTCTAAGTGATCTCTAATATGCCCTATAGCAAGAAGAGAATGCAAAAGTTGAATCATAAAAATATTTTAAGATCTTTAATAAACTGGCAAGTCGGAGGAAATAAACCAAAAGCAATGATATACCAAAACAAACATTAAATAACTAATAAGATCATTAATAAACGCATGAAAAGTCATACAGACATACAATAGTCAGACTCAGACATGCATGATAGATTAATAGATATCCTAAAAACATAGATAGAGCGTTAACTTCACATATATAGAGCGTTAACTTCACATTTCAATCTCTACGCAACAAACAGAGTAGGTAAGTCCTAGAGTAGTAGACATGGCATGGTAGATAACCTAAAAACAGGGATGGTTTTTGATGGAGTTAACAACTTCACATTCGATCTCTACCTCCAAAGTACCTTCACGGTCCAAGTAAGCCCCCTGAATTTTATCTAAAGACATGGATTGGGTCTTACCCCACGCTTTGTTCGAGTTCAAGAGCCAACTTTTAACTACAAAAACAAGAAATCTATGTTAAGTACATTAGTTATAAACTTAAAACCACTAGTTTATAGTCAAAGGAGCAGGACATTTGACATTATAAGTTAAGAGCGCCTATTGAAAATGTCTAATTTATCCCATTCATCAGCGCTGACAATAAACATTGCGAGATAATAACATGAATATTTTTCGACTTACGCCATACTGATAGGTGATTGGATCCACGCGGGTCTAGAACCTTCAGGTTTACTCGCACGAAAATCAGCTCACCCTTCAATAAAGTATCATTGTCAGTTAAATGTAAATGCTGGGATAACTCGCCATCTGCTCTAGAGTCCCCCTTTGGATACAAAGTTAGAGTCCTGTATTAAGACATTAACATCCACTTGTTAGCTAGTTAACACTCATGTACACACATACAACAATATATCAGAAAAGAAAACTTTTGATAGACTCACCAATCTTTTTCTCCCATGTGAAAGGTTTTCGAAACGCAATCATTCTGTCTGAGAAGAGAGAAATCACTAATAGTCCAAGAGAATTTGTGAAAAGGGAGATCTTCACCAAAAGAGACAGGTCGTGAAACAATCTTCACATGAGCACCAAACTCATGTAGTTCTCCGTACAAGATAAATCCCTTTGCACGGTCTTTGAATGTTTCAATCGAAAGAGCTTTTGACAATCCCCAAACCGTTTTTGAAGAATTGAACCTCTTAACTTCAACATCTACATGTCAACATGTATAAACACATATTACTGAATCATTCATATATATATATGCATACGAGAGAAAGAGAGAGATAATAAGGGTATGAACATACGAACCTTGAATAGAGAGGTATTTTCTAATAAGGGTATAAATTTTAAAAAAGTTTACATAGTTCTTGCTAGTATTTTCTATCAAATTGATTCGGACACATAGATTTCGGTCAGAAAACGAATTAAATTATTATAAATGGTTTTTGATTTCTAAGTGATATCATATCTCTAGTCCACTCTAATATGCCCTATAGCATTTGATGTACCTTAATAGAAGAAGAGAATGCAAAAGTTGAATCATAAAAAGATTTCAAGATCTTTAATAAACTGGCAAGTAGGAGGAAATAAACCAAAAGCAATGATATACCAAAACAAACATTAAATAACTAATAAGATCATTAATAAACGCATGAAAAGTCATACAGACATACAATAGTCAGACATGCACGGTAGATAAATATATATATCCTAAAAATAGATTGACCATGAAATCTCTACGCATAAAACAGAGTCCTAGAGTAGTAGACATGGCAAGGTAGATACATAGATAGAGCGTTAACTTCACATTCAATTTTACGCTTAAAACAGAGTAGTCCTAGACTCTAGAGTAGTAGCCATGGCATGGTAGATATCCTAAAAGAAGGGATGGTTTTTGATGGAGTTAACAATTTCACATTCGATCTCCACCTCCAAAGTACCTTCGCGGTCCAAGTAAGCCCCCTGAATTTTATCTAAAGACATGGATTGGGTCTTACCCCTTGCTTTGTTCGAGTTCATGAGCCAACTGTGAACTACAAAAACAATAAATGTATGTAAAGTACATTAGTTATAAGGAGAAGGACATTTGACATCATAAGTTAAGGACGCCTATTGAAAATGTCAAATAGTAACATCAATAGTTTTTGACTTACGGCTTCCTGTTAGGTGATTGGATCCACGCGGGTCTAGAACCTGCAAGTTAACTCGCAACAAAATCAGCTCACCCTTCAATAAAGTATCATTGTCAGTTAAATGCAGATGCTGGGATAACTCGCCATCTGCTCTAGAGTCTCCCTTTGGAAACAAAGTTAGAGTCCTGTATTAAGACATTAACATCCACTTGTTAGCAAGTTAACACTAATGCACACACATACAACAATCTATCAGAAAAGAAAACTTTTGATAGACTCACCAATCTTTTTCTCCCATGTGAAAGGTTTTCGAAACGCAATCATTCTGTCTGAGAAGGGAGAAATCACGAATAGTCCAAGAGAATTTGTGAAAAGGGAGATCTTCACCAAAAGAGACGGGTCGTGAAACAATCTTCACATGAGCTCCAAACTCATGTAGTTCTCCGTACAAGATAAAGCCCTTTGCACGGTCTTTGAGTGCTTCAATCGAAAGAGCTTGTGACAATCCCCAAACCGTTTTTGAAGAATTGAACCTCTTAACTTCAACATCTACATGTCAACATGTATAAACACATATTACTGAATCATTCATATATATATATGCATACGAGAGAAAGAGAGAGATAATAAGGGTATGAACATACGAACCTTGAATAGAGAGGTACTTCTTCTCTTCCTCGCTAAAGATAAAGAAAGTGAGATAAGCAAACACATCCATGGGTGATGTTGTCGATGAGAGACACTCCACATACATTGAAACAAATCCCCTTCCATTGTCCTCTTCGTTTCCTTTAGGGTAAACAACCAATCTCCTGATTTTTACAAAAAAGGGAAACATTTCTTACTTATATATGTATGCAGTGAAGAAAGATGTGAACTTTAATGAAGAAAAATATGAACTTTAGCGAAGAAAGATGTGAACTTTAGTGAAGAAAAATGTGAACTTTAAAGTATAGAACAAGATCACATACCAGTTGTGTCCACCAGAAGAGAAAGGAGGTGATTCGTATTTGTCGTTAGCATTCTGAGAAAGTCTGACAAGAGAAGAAGACGAAGAAGGAGGATTCTTTTTCCAACTCTTCAACATTGCAGAATCTGATGCATTTGAACCCATTTCTCTACACAATGTTGCAACCCTAGAGCGTAAAACAAAACATATATCCAAAATCAGAAAAGATTCGAGTTATATGAACTAATATGATACAAAAGAGAAGACTTTGGTTTAGAATTCTCAGATACTGAAAGTTTTGTGCTTTTTTCTCTTAAAAGACTAAAGAAGTTGAAACTTGAAAGCTAAGAAAAAGAAATCGACGAACCTGAGACAACGAGAGAGTCTTGAGAGATTCTTGGTCACTTGTTAGATCTAGGGTTTAGATAGGATTTATATAGAGGTTTGTTAGAATGGGCCTAAAGCTACAAAGCTGGCCCGTTTTGTTTTTATATTGTTGGTTTGATGGACATTTTCGTTATCTCCAAAAAGGATTTTGATTATTGAATCTGCTTTACATTTTGCATTTTCTTCTAAATTAAGATTGGATGACTATAGTATAATATCATTCTGGTTTGGTTATTTAATTGAACCTGAAATTGAAGCTTAGCAATTTAGCATCGTTCTTTGGTTCGTGTATTGATAGAAAACTATGTGAATAATATCATGATATATTCTTCTTATTTAAACACAATATACTTTTGTTTAGAGAGATTATCATTTAGTTTTTAGTTCCTTAATAATAAAAAAAATTCGTATATCTTAGTGCAATTCTCCATAATACCGTCAAATTGATTTTTTTTCTTCTTAATCAAATATATGTAAAAGTAATTCAAACAAAAAAACGTTTTTACAACAAGTGCAAATGTGATTAACGAGATTTAAGAAAAGTTAAATAAGAAATTAATCTAAAATAAACAAAATTGTTTATTTTGAAGCAAACCATTGTTCCATATCTCGATCGTATATTATGTCTCCTATAGCTCTTATGAAGACAAACGGTTCCGAGTTTGCTTGTCAATGATTTAAATCAGTATGTGCTATGATCTCGTTGGCTCTCCATGTTTTCTCTTGTTTCGTTCTCCCCAAATCGTGTAGATCGTTGTCTAAAACACATAGCGCACTAGCCAGCTGAACCTTGTCTACTTACAGCTCGAGAATTCTGTCCCAATCACTAGGGCAGTTTGTGTCGAGGAGCTTCTTAGTTAGATTTTTCTAGATTTCCTCAGAATAATTGCGGGCAAAGAAGAGGTGGCTGAGAGATTCTCTAGGTGCTTGATAAATTACGCATGAGACATTTGGCCCAGTGTTCCAATTAAGGATACGATCTCCTGTGGCAAGTCTATTGCATATCGATAGCCAGGCAATGAACGTTGATTTGGGGGTTGAATTCGTGAACCATACCTCCTTCCACCATGTCCTAAAATCAAAAGGATTACAAAATCACTTTTTTGAGATTTGGCAATAACAATAATGGGAAATCACACTTTTAACCTTCAAACTGTCACCGAGTAACACTTTAAATCTCGACATAATTTCACCAACTCTATAAACCATCAAAATAATTTTACTAACATTCTAAACCTTAAAACTAGCTTTCATGTTTGCATCTCAATGAAAAATGACGGAACATTAACGTCCGTTAACGCGGAATAGTTAAAATTGTTTAGTTTAATTTAAATTTGAATTACTTTATTTAAATTTTTAATTAGATACTGAATCACTAGAGAAACTTTAATAGAATAATCAAAACCCAAAAAATGAAGATATGACGTTTTCACTCTCTTAAATTGATAAATTGGGATAAAATTAATTTAAATTTAAATTAAACAAACATAATTTAACTATTCTGCGTTGACTGATGTTATTGTTCTGTCATCTGTTATAGCAGCACAAACAAAAAAGCTAGTTTTAAGGTTTATAGTATTAGTAAAAATATATTGGTGGTTTAAAGTGTTAGTGGAATTCTCTCGAGGTTTAAAATGCTATTCGGTGACACTTTCAAGGTAAAAATATAATTTTACCTAATAATAATGATGAATATTTTAGCAAAAGTTTTGGTGATTGATAAATTTTTTGTTTGGCCAAACCACAATTATATTAAGTTATCGGATAATTTAAATTCAATAGATTATTATAATAAATATTACAATAAATTTAGATTATATAAATCTATTTATTGAACTTAAAATCTATTTATTTACTTCTGAAAGATGATTTTTACTTACAACATAATTTTAGTATATCTAACTATTAAATTTTATTTCATTAAAAAAAAAATTTGCACATCGAACGGAGCCTAATCTAGTATATATAATGTTTCATAATCCAAGATTTAGTTTTAATAAAACTTAATTAAAGATAATTCGAAAATATTACAGTGTCAGAAATATAATATATTGTCATTGTTGCCAAATTTCCAAAATCATCAACTTGACGATATTAAAAAGCCTCAGTCATCTAGCTTCCAATTAGCAAAATAAGGTCAATCCATATGAGTAACTTTTATGATATAGATTGGTGGACTAAAAGAAAGTTGTACAAGTAGTACTCTCAGTGTTTTGTACAGTTTTCGTGTACTAATGTTTTTTACAGTTTTGTACTACACCGTAATAGTTTACAACTAAAAAGCTTGTACAACTTTATGTTACCAATCAGATCATATAGCTAAAATAATCTCAACTAAATGGGCAAAAAAAAGGAGAAGTTAATATACATTCCGTGAAATATTAATGGACTAACAATACCATTACTTAATTATGTAGTACTTTGACAGGAAAAATTTGATCTAGTTAGAAAGAATGTGTACTCAAAAAAGCTTTTCCTCTTTGAACAAAAAAGCATTAAGTAGGAAGAGTAGAAGTAGGCAAAGTGTGCCAAAAAGACCAAACAACCAACCTAAAAAGAGCGTGAGCAATGCATGTCTCATCTTCATCCCCGCGTTACGAACACTAGATAAATGACAAGCTCCGAGAACACAACCTGAGAAATCCTTTCTTTAGGTCTAGTAAACTCTTTCTAACAAGTGGAGGGAATCAATGAAGAAGAGATTCTGAGTAGCGTCAATGCGTAGAATGTTGTGGCACTGACCACACCGTCCCTGAGGAACCGAGACGTCGATGACGAGTCACCAAGTGGCGTGAGCAATGCATGTCTTATCAATTTGTTAATACTTGAGGATTCTCATGTCCAAGAGCTTTCCCATTGGGATTTCATTATCTCTTTGTCAGAAAAACTTCTTCGTGAAGTCATGAAGAATTATTCTCTTTTGGACGTAAAATAAAATCAAGACAAAAAATGAAAAAAGAAACAATGAAACATTAGGTACTTGAATGCCAAAGAAGAAAGCACTAAGCGGAGACATACAGAAAAATAAGCAACACATTATGTTCTTCAGAAGACCAACAAAAAAATGAGTGGAAAAATTAAGAGGTTTGCTAAGAGAGAAATGTACATTTCAATTTTCCATTAACACACAAAGAACCAAAAGATTAAACATTTAAGATCCATGATGCCGAATTCGAGTTCAATTCTTGTCAGTACTTGTATTTTTTTTCTTCCAACGGTTTTTTGTTAATGGGTCAAACACATTTGTACTTGAGGCAATAAAAAGATTTGGGTCGCCCTGTGTATGAGAGCTTTGTTTTTTTTATTCATGGCTAGCCATTTATCTCTTTGGTAATGGGAAAAGTTTTATACAGAGTGTCCATTAATGCTTTTTTGTAGCTCAGAACTTTAATTGCTTCAAACTTGTTTTTTTTATGTGTATCCCCTTTGGTAAAATAACATACATTATAACCCATTTATGTTCACTCTTACATATTTGTGGTACTAGTATTAAATAACCATTGCACACAAAAAAAAAAGTATTAAATAACCAATGACCACATTTTCGGTTGACCATATTATTAAGGGACGATTGGCGCAGGGACAAAAATGGAGCTTCTAATTAGGGAATTGACAAAAGTCGATTTTGTCGGAGACGAAAAAAAAACAGCGCTACAAAGGACCCTCAGTTCAAGAAGTATTACAGAAAAACCAGATGTATACGCAGCCATGCGCATGAGATTCTCGGCCTGAATTTTTTGGCAAAAAGGAATGAAGCGACCGTTAATAAATGCTCTGCTACGAACTGACCTTTACGCTACAAACATTTAATAACAGACATATTAACATTAATTCTTGTTTTTTCAAACTGGAAAAATATTAGCACGCTACAAATATATATTAGAAGATTTTGATATTTGTATACATGTAAACACATGTATAGAGCGCTAAAAATAATTATAGTGTTAAGTTATTGGATCTATGTATACATGTATAGAGTGTTATTAACATTTATATACACGTAAACATGTACATGAATCATTATTAACATTTGTATTCATGTAAACACATGTATAAAGCGTTATTAACATTTGTATAAATGTAAACACGTATATAGAGTGTTATTAACATTAGTATACTTGTATAAACGCACAAACATAACTACAATCACTGTATCCCAAACCGTTGAACGGAGCAAGTGAATAATGCATTGTAATTGGACATTGAAATATCATTGGAGTCATAAATTTCGTCAAATTTTTGATGGATTTTCACCGGTTTTTATCGAGTTTTTACCGGATTTCTTCGAATTATCACCAGATTTTTACCGGATTTCTTCGAATTATCACCAGATTTTTACCGGATTTCGTCGAACTATCATTGCATTTTCATTAGTTTTTGTTAAATTGTCACCGGAACTTACAAAGATTCATCATAATAGCAACACTAATTGTGTTGAATTTAAAGTGTTGCTATTACGGTGCAGTGCTCTGTTCGATCATGACTCAATATAAACGATAGCGGCACACTAGGAAGATAACATGTAAGAAATGTACATAGATCTATAAAGATTTTTAGATATTCATGCACAATATATTGATGTCTCATGTATTAAACCATATCATGTCGAATAGAAAAACGCGTGAGGCTATTTTTGGCAAAAAAGAGGGGCTAAAATTTTCTTTGTTTTGGACTCCAACAAAAAATTATGGAAAATAAAGTCCAGATCTTTGTCACTCACCCAATTATCTCTATTATTAACCTTGAAGTAGCTGAAATAATCAGACCCAATTTAAGTTTAACTGAATCGTCAACCATCTAAACATGATGAAATGATCAACCGCTAAGTAAGTGCCTCATACACACCTGTCTTTGAGGGAAACTAAAACACACAATTAGAAGCTCGTTGAATATCTAC